TAGAAAATACAAAATAATTTTGATTAAAAGAGCTTCTAAAAATGAGGGGGGGGGATCAAGACATAGATATCATTCTCCCCATAAAGCCAGGATGATATAACATCAACTACCACAGTCATTACTATGAAAAATATAATTCTATCACAAATGAGCTGCAGTTGAATCACGAAAGAGGTAAAAATGCAGTCAAGTCCAAAATAAGCACTGAGCATTCATTTTCACATCATTTTACTAGCTTTTCAAATAGTCCTTCTCACAAAAGTCTTGTTTCAATTTATGATAAGCATTTTTGGCTTCATATTTGAACTTTGAACAGTGTATATTAACCATATTTGGATAATCATCTTATTTAGCCAAATGGAGGGTTTTCCCCTATGTCCCATTTCCAAATTCTCAGATTTTTGTACATTTACCCCTTCTAGCAGATTGGAATGATCACTTACCAGTCAGCATTTGTATTATTGGGACCAACTGGAACTATTCTATAAATTCAGATGTTAAAGCTTGCTTGATTTAAGACAAATGACTATGTATTTGAGATAAAAGTCTCAGAAAAGAGTTCTTGCCTTTTCTTCAGTTTATAACAAACTGGATGAATTTGGCATTTTTCAGCTTTGTGTCACTGTTATGAAACAACTTGTCACAGGCTACTTATGAAAAAAAAGAGAGGTTTATTTTGACTCATTGTTCTGGAGGTTCAAGTCTAAACTTGGAGAGTCCCATTGGTTTGGGCCTTTGGTAAGAGCAGCATCACGTTGTGAGTATGTGTCAGATGTGTTAACATCTCATACCAGGAAGCAGAGAGAGAGAGGACAGGCCAGGGTCCCAATCTATTTTGGGGATACACCCCCAATGACCTAAGGACTTCCCACTGGGATTTACTACTTAAAACCACACAGAAACTCCTAATAATCCTGCCACCCTAGGGACCAAGCCTCTACATATGGACGTTTGGGGAACACTCATCCAAACCATAGAAAGCAGTAAGTATAGACTCCATAAGTCTAGAGTAGCCAGTTCCTGAATTCAGTGATTCCAGCTGCTTTCCACATGAGAACACATGGCTATATTATGAAGAGTCACTCAATGTTAGTTATGAAAAGCCTGGGTATTTCAAGAAACCATCCAACCACACCACTGATAAATGGGTACTCTAATAAATGCAAAAAAATTCAGGGATTGTATAGAGTGGACAATCTTGTTCAAGGCTGACAAAATTAATTATTGCATACTGAGATTTTATTCTCATATAGACTGAATAAAGCTAATGTATTAACTTTCTTTTAATTACAGAAAGTTTTCTTGCAGAAGCAAATGAAGTTGGTGATAATATATAAGAAAGCACAGAAAGTATCTCTGTCATTTGTTTGACATTTCAGTCCTTCTTCCAAAAGTAAATACCCAACATAAGGAAAATTTAGTAATTAGCTTAAGAAAATCCAAGTTTTTATCAATAAAGCAAAAAATTCAATTGATATTTCTGAAAAACATTAATTTTTAGAATTACTGTTGCTTAATATATGACACTAGTGCCTTTTCATATCAAAATGTAAACTCTGTTTAAATATCAAATATACTTAAGAGAAACATTATAAAACAAAATGGTATTTATTTACCTTTAATTTTATTTGAAGTGTTGGTCCATTTCATCTAAGAAATGAAAATAATATGTTTGATGATGTTGATAGCATTTTATTATCCTTTATTGTCCATGGGATTAGTAGTAATATCACATCTTTCATTCCTGATATTGATAACTTATTTCGAGAGAAGTTTTTCAACACCCATAACATGAGTCCTTAGATCCACTAATTTTTGAGTGCCTTCTCTATATAGTCATTCTCTTGACAATTAATATGAAGCACAGATAAGTATGTGACTTGCTTCCATTCCCATAGTTCCATTCACATGCTTCTTATCTAGACTTTCATCTATTCAATTTCTAATCCTTCTCCTTCCAAGACTTTGAACATACCAGCCAAATTAATCTCCACAGTCCAGAATACCACCTCATTAGATCCCCTGCGTACAAAGTACAGTACCAAGTGTACTGCTCACAATTCAGCCAATTAGGAGTTTTCCCATCAACACTATTCCTTAGGGCTACTTTAACTGATACTGAAGTATGGCAGCAGTCAATTTACATCTATTATTAACATTTAATGCTGACATCTGTGCATCAGGTTTGATATTTGCCTCTTCCATTTGTTGGTCATAGGTCACCTTCTACTCCATGAGCCCATAGAACTGAAGGGAGGGACATCATTGCAATAATTGTCAGTGTGGGGGCTGAGGTTGTGGCTCAGTGGTAGAGCATTTGCCTAGCATGAGTGAGGCACTGGGTTCACTTCTTAGCACCACATATAAATTAATAAATAAATACAAGTCCATCAACAACTGAAAAAAATAAAAAAAATAATAATTATTAGTGTCACAGAGATTTGTGCAACCTGATGATTTTCTTGTGCTATATCAGGCTGGATACCAACAGTATCATTTCCAACATGGGGTGGACTGCTGTTTAGCCTGTTGGACCTTAACACTTGGTGAATTTTAATGTACAGTTTATGATTGGCAGGTTCTATCATATAGTCACTTGCTGTCTATTGGGTTAGACTATTATTTATTAAGACTTAATATTATACAAGGAGTTATTTTTTAAATGGCACTTAGTTTATAGGACACAGTTTTTCCTCAGAGCCTCAGAATTCTGTGTTACAATACATTCTAATCCTTATAGATAATACTGGAAAAGATCTTAGCACTATCAGATATGCTGAGTCATATGGCTTTAGTGGTAGGACAACTTGTACTGTGTATCTTCAACTTGGTAGGGGACCATAATTTTCCACTGCAGCTAACATCAGATTTGGCTGAGTAGGTCACATCTTGTTTTTGTACATAAGAAGTAATATACCAGCCACCTGTCCATACACCGAGCCCTGGAATACTACTATCTACCAGTCATTGCTACAGATTTTAGTCAATAAAAATTACCTGATTCTAATCTGATCTTTCCTCCCATTAGGGAAAAGATACTTACCTTGCCTCTCGGGTTTTGTGCTGCCACTTAGGCCCTACAATTCTGGAATCTCATCATCCTCATTGCAATATAGTTTATTTCCAACCATGGTTTGCCAAGGAGAGCCAACACTTGAGATACTAAAAAATGTCAAGTGTTTCTCATCAACACATTTCTTATCATTACTGTGCCTTCTCTTCCCTCCTAGGGAAAATAGTTCAGAGATAGGTTCTGTCTTCTCACACAGTAAATCATTTCTTATACTCCTATCCCCTTGGCGATCTCACCAATTCCTCAGTACTCTGGCAAAAATGTTCCAGTAGGCTGTTTTGGTCCAAGCTTAAAAGATGCCACACCAGTAGCATATTAGGCCAACTCCAGGTCTTTGAACCAAGTTATAGGTGTGTGATCCCATGTTGCTAAGTTCTCCTCCATATTCACTTAGGTTCTGCTCTCTTTCCATACTAGTTTGACATCCTCAAAATGCATTCCACCATATATTATCCTATTTTATTATAGTATATATTAGCCCATTCCTACTAGTTCTTTCTGAATATAAAGTTCTTCTCCACGTAATTAGAGACTGCAATTTTCCCCCTGTGCTGTGATGATACCTTATCTTTGTTATGAGCTGGAGGCAATGAAAAATATCAGTACTGGTTGTGAATAATACAGGTAACATCTTTTGAGGTAACTGTATCTGATGAGTTTATTGCATTTTCTCCAGAAAGAGGCTGTCCTCTGATAGCATGGGTTTAGGTGGCTGCAAATGCCAGGCTGAGGGATCAGGGGATTTTAAGTATTCAAGATTCTTACATTAATTTATATTCCAGGTCTCAGAGTTCTACTTGTCATAGATAGATGATAGGTACCTAGACAAATGGATAGAGATACCTATAAATATTATGGATGCTGTCTCCCTGAAGTCCTACAGACCTTACAAACAGATTCTGGGCCTCATATTCAGCAGTCTGCTTTATAACTGAAAATGAGAGTCTTCTAAATCCAATGGGTTAGGGTGGATGATGGGTCAGTCTTTCCCATCAGAGATACAAACCTATGCTAGAGACCCAGCTTAGGGCAATCTTAGAGCCTTCCTTAACAACTACTCAGGCTAGAAGTAATCAGAGTCCACATTCAGTTGGACGCCAAACCCATCTTCTTCCATAACCCAAATACCATTCAGTCACCTACTCAAAGAGAATAGATGTGTCTGAGGCACACCTGCCTCACCTGAACATAAGCCACAAGATAAATGACATATCAAGAGAGATCCGATACTCATTCTTTACCCCAAATCAGATACCCAGGAACTCTCAAATAGGGTGAAACAAGGGTCTTTGATTTTCGAATACAGGCAATCAGTCCACAAGGTTAATAAAATATTTCTCATTGTGATGAGGTTGCACATTGTAATCATCTTAAAAAATTACATGAATATTTACAGGAATAATATCTTCTGTGTGCCCTGTAATCTAACCTCAGGGTACAGCATTAAACCACATTATCACTTTCTCTCCTCATAAGGCTATAAATGAGGTAGTAAATATTAAATTAGGTAGTAAAATATTACAACCAGGAGATAGATAGCTCAATGAAAATACTGAAGTGGGTAATACATTGGAATCAGAGGGACACAGTATTATAGCATGAATAAGGGTGTTTTCCTAGATTATAAAATCCACATATTGTGTGGTGATGGTATGTCTTCAAATACTTTTCAAGGCCATGAGGAAACTATTTGGATTAGTTCAGGCTGGATCCATAGAAGATTTTGTAGGATCTGCAGCACATAAAATTGGGAAGGCTTTTTTTTTCTAAAATAACACAAAATCAACCATGGAAATGAATATTTATTCAGAATCGTAACTTATAACAACAAACATTAAAATGATGGCACCTACAAAAAGCAAAAATTCCAAAAAAACACATCACTTATGTAGCTATATAATCTGGAGTATGGAGTAAATATCCAAAGTGAAGGAAATAATGGTTTTATTACAAATCAAAATACCAAATTTTAAAAAATTTTAGATACACATGTAGCTATGTGAACATATAACAAGAGCCCAAGAATAACAGCCGTCTTACTCAAAGATGTAAAATTGTAGACAGGTTCATGTTAAGTCTTTAGCACTTCTTATCATAACAAGTTTTTAAAAACAATAAACTAGTTTTTCTAAGATGTAGTCTCACAAAAATCTTGTTTTGAGTTAGAATATATTCATCCGCTTCATCCTATCGATTGTCTATATTTAACCATATTTCGGTAATTGCCATATTTAACCAGGGGGGGGGCTTTTTCTGTGATCCATTTCCAAATTCCCAGGTTTTGGTCCATCTACTCCTTCTGATAGTTTGGAATGACTTACTAGTTGACATATTAGTACTGGAATCAATGGGAAATTCTGTACAAATAAGCCGGATGCTAAAGTTTGCTTAATTTGAGACAAATGACTACATATTTTGAAATAAGACTCAGAATGTAGTGCTTGCTTTTTCTACAGTTTGCATCAAACTACATGGGCTCTTAAGCAGTAAGTCTGGACTTTAGAGTGACCAGACTGTAGATACAATGACTGTAGCTGTCTTTTACATGTGGTCAGACAGCTATAATAAGAATATCCACTCTTGGTTAGTTATGAAGACAGCCAAAAGCCTGTCTGTTTTAACAAACTATTCAACCATTTTAAGGACAGACACTGAACAAAACTGAATTTCATGGAAGTATAGAATTGGTTATCCTGTTCAAGGCTGCTGAAATATTTTTCTGCATGCTGAAATGTTATTCACACAAATATAAACTGCATGCAGATAATCCATTTATTTTTTAACTTTAGACTATTTTGCAAAAGCAACTGTGGTTAGTTATAATATGCAGCAAAGCTTATCTATCATCTATCTTTGGTTCTATGTCTTAGAGATACTTTTTTTTCCAAAAATAAATAGGCATGGCAGGAAAAATAATTCAACTATTTTAAGAGAAAACCCAGTATTTTATAAAAAATTAAGCAAAAAAATATAATCATGTTTCTTTTAGACTTCTTTTCTAACTATCTTGCTTAATATCTAACACCAGTGCAATTTTAATATTGAAATGATTGTGCATACTGCATTTTCCTATACAGCATACACACAAAAATGTCATAAAACCAAATAGTCCTTTCTTTTAAAAATCATTTAGGAATTATGCATTCTAAAAATGTATTTGAAAGTAAAAATTCTGAAATAATGCTGATGAAATTGACTCTGAAGAAGCATAAGAAAATAAACATGTAGTGATCTCTGCAGATCCTAGAGATCTTTAAAAAAAAGTGAACATGTTGCTCAAAGTCTTTCCTTTTCAGAAAATATTTACATTGTAGAGAGAACTGTTAAAATGAGATTTTTTTAAACTAACATCTGTAAAAGCTCCTTGTTATGGTTTTGACTCTTGGGATACTTAATGAGCTTCATTTGTTAATGGTTTCCGTCTCTTTTCAAATATGATTTTTGCATCAAATAATTCTCTTTCCCTATAGCCGAGAGAAGGCCCTTTTAGATACTTTGCTTCAGCTGCTTCATAATCTAATCCATCAACAGCAGAAATTGAAAAAATAATTGCTTCTGGCAGGAGAACTTCCAGGATGAATTTAATTTTGTCATGTTTTATTCGAGTCAGCATGCTTTCATCTATTTGTTTGTAGATTTCCTGTAAATATTTTACTACTTCATCCAACTGATCATCATCTTCAAAGTATGTTTCAATACAGGGTGTGAACCTATTTGCATTCAAAAATGATTTCAGCCATCTGGATGCTTTGGTGCCTTTTAAAATGGCCAAAAGATGGTTTTCTGTTCCCTTTGCATTCACAATAAAGTCCACCAGGTTCTTGTTGGCTCGGTCCCGAGCAGCCTTCATCCGGTCAGGGAGAATTTTCTGGAAGGCCATTTTCTTGGTCTGGGAAGTCACAACCATTTGTTCCACAGTATCATCACTCTGGAGCTTTGGAAATCGATTCCTGAAGGTATCCTGTTTGATTGCTTTCCTGATTGGATAACTAATGTCAGCAGCATAGTACTCAAGGAATGAGCCTGTAAAAGATCCACAACCTATTCTAACTCTGTAGTCACAAATCAATGAAATGCACCAGTCGATACTTTCACTATACTCCTCCCTGGCTTTATCCACTAGTGCTTGTTTCTCCTTACAATCAAACTTTTTTAGTCTTCTGAATGGTACTCTAATGCCTTTCTTCTCAGGATTTATGTTTGCCTCAACAAAAAGCACACTTGCTTTCCTCTCTTTACGCCTGATGCTTTTTACCACTGCTGGCCAAAATGGGTATTTTTGATATTTAAACCAGACTATCATTCCTGTTTCAAATGAACGTGGCTCATAATTTAAAATGAAGCGTGGGAGTTCTTCATCTTCCTCATTGTCATCTAGTGCAGAAGCACTAACAGGATTTAGATTCGGTGACTTGTCAGAAGCTTGAATGTCTTCCTCAAGTTCCTCTAAATCCAGCCTCTGAAAACTTCTTTCATTATTCACAAGAAGTGAATAATCCAGGACAGGGTTAGAGGCACTAACTGAAGCCTGGCATTCCCCTGAACAACTTGCAGAGGATGTTGCAGCACCTATCTCTGATTCCACAGAAGGTTGATCCTGGGTGGCATCTGTGCATGGATTTGGATTTGAAGGACCTTCTCCAGGATCTTCAATATTCTCTGAGAACGTAGAACATTCAGAGGAAACAGCAGTGGTCTCTGAGCATATGTGTTTTTCTTCTTCTTTCAAAGCTTTGGGCATAGTGACAATATCTGATGACAAAGATGGAACAAACTTTTCATCTTTAACATGTGCATTCTCTTCTTTGACTGTGGAACTTACAGATAAAATTGCTGATGTGTCAATCTTTTTCTTCTCTTTTTCATCATCATCTTCTGAAAGTGAAGGGAAAGTCTGGCAAATGGGGTTCTGTGATGACTTTGTTTCCATTTCACTCGGAGTATCAATAGTTGTGTTCACCTGTAATTTATCATCAGGCAGGGAATTACCACTCTCTGAAGATATTATCAGGGATGTTGGGTTTTTATTTTCCTCAAGAGACTCCTGTAAGTCCTCTTCATGCCTCCGATACTTTTTACGAGGGGGTGAATCAGACAGCTTTTGTGGTTCGTTGTCAGATATCACAATGGTCTCTTCTTCATGTGAAATGCTTGCTTGACTCATTTTTTTTCTCTCATTCAGGATATCCAGTGCCACTTTTAGTGATCTTCTGTAAGCTGTTTCCTCTTGAGGTGGGGCATTGTCCTCTAACTGTAGCACAAGAGAGGAGGCAATGGCTTCAACTTGAGATTTCTCAAGAATCTTTGTTTCTGTGATATCCACTTCAATCTTCTCATCTAGTGAGAGTATTTGAACTTCTAGGGAAATTGTCTTTTGTCTCTTACTGTCTGATGAAGTTTCAGATCTGGACAAAACTTTCGCTGGCCATAACTGGTCTTTCCAATTGCACAGGACATACTCAACTTCCATGATGATTTTGAGTTGTGTGCCAAGGAGCTCTTATCGGAGGTTGAGGTGGCTTGCTGTCCTTGTTACTGCAAACACAGTTCCTACCAAAACAATACTCTCAACAAAGTCTCTTTTGTTTTAGGACTACAAATAGTTTATAGCTTGTGTTTTGTCTTCTCCACTACAATAACCCCAGGATGCGTGAACACGTTGTTTGAATAGGACAATACCGAAGATACTGAAATGGGGGGAAAAAAGTATCAGCAAACAAAATTATTTTGTCAAAATAGAATATGAGCAAATGCAAACCAAGAAGAAATAAACTAGAGATGAGAATGCTCAATACAAGATCAGACAGTGAATAATGCAGCATAATTTAAGGGGAGATAGGAAATGGAAAATTGTTTTACAATATGTCAAATTCAAGAACTTGCACATATTTATTAAGGAGTTATGTGTATACATGTAGGCATAGGGGGAGGGCTTATGGTGGTGTTTCAGGGAACCTATATTATTAGACTCTGATATTTTTATCCCTCTACTATTTGACCTATGGCAGTGGGTCTCCAAACTTAATATGTATCAGAATCATCTGGAAGACTTAGATTTCTAGGCACCCTCCTGAAAGTCTTAATCAGAATGTCTGGGTTGAGCTCAAAAATTCATATTTCTAATAAGTTCTCAAATGATTTCAATGCTACATGTCCAAGAGGAACTTGTTGAGAACTAGTATACTAGCCAAATACACAGCATTATAATTTTTAAGTTGTAAGTGCTTTGCTGTTCTACCAAAGCATCCAGACAAACAAAACAAGGTCTGTACCTACTGCATCTACACAACAACATACTGACCTTCTAAAAATCATAAGCAGAAGACAGAGACTCAGAATGGCTACTATGGACACTTACTGGACCTAGTTGTTTCAAGTATTTGAGAGCCAGATCATTGTCTGAAAACTTGGGTAGACACCTGAAAAGCCTCTTGCATAATTTTTGCTTAGTGGTTTTATACATAAGATTCTCAATATGAGAAGTTGAGACATTTTAACTTCTTACATTAATTACAAATATTATGGCTAGAGAACAAGGATCAAGTTGAATTATACCTCAGATTTTTCAACTGAATGTGATTTTAATATGAAATGTATTTTTGAGTTTAAAGTCCATAGCTGCAAAGCATGAAGCAAAATATTCTTCATGATCTCAATAAGTGTTTAATGTGAAATATTTCATGAGATGGGAATAGTCTTACCCTGCCACAAGAATTGTGATAGTCTGGTCCTGTAATACAGCTGTCTTGATTCTTACTCCGACTGTTTGTCCAGCACAGCCTTCACCCTGCTGGGCACTTCTGTTGTTGTACTGTCTTTCTGGGGCTCACCTGGAATCAAATGCAGATTGCCCAGGTCTCATGGAACTCTGATATTAACCTAGGATATCCAAAAGGAAGACAGGGGATCAAGGCAATAAAATGGAAAAAATGTAAGGAAATTTCCCTACCAAAACACTATCAAGTATGTCATTCTGAAACACAAAGACAAAGTGAAATCTTATCCCTGATGTAGATGTCATATCCTTATAATATGAAATGTTCTTTGAGACACATTTATATTATTTGGTTCATGATGAAATCATGTCTCTCAGGAAAAGTGTGAGGTCAGAATAGGAAAGAAGGAAGTAACAATTACCTTGTTCTACAAGTCAGAGTATAGATTTTCTATTGAATCCATATCAGTTATCGTGTATTCTTCTTTCTTTTTGATACACAAAATTTTCAATGGAATCACAGTTACACTGTATATGCTATCTATTAATACAAAATAATTTCATTGCTTTTTGCCTACTTCAAAAAAAATGATTGCCTGGAAGAAATTTAGGCTGTTTGACAAGCGACATCTTGTGACCAGAACCAGAACTGCAGCCTGCCCATAAGGTATAGGCAGGACCTGAATCACTACTAGATCTTTCTTATGGGAAGAGTATGAGAACTACTCTAGCCAGCCAGGAGCCTGCCAGTGCTTCTAGACTTCTGTATTCTAAACTTAGGAGTTCTGTTGTATGGGATTATAACAGGAATATGTGTCTTCAAACATAATGTTTCTTATTATAAAAACACCCAGAAACTCTTAAAATTGAAAAGATACAAAAATATACATACCAAAGAAATTATAATTCTATACAAACAACCTCTATGACTATTCTGCATGTATCATTCTAGAATTATTTTACATATATAGATAAATATCATTTCAAACTAGCCTTAGATTTCACTCAAGAGCATAAATATTTTCCACATGATGTTTTATAAATTATTTTAAGTGAAATTTTCTCAAGACTACTATATTTTAGCTCAACATTTCCTTTAAGATGTGAAAAATAAATAAGTATATATTATTAATTTTTATAATAGAGAACAGTAAAGCAATCTCTGTTTCTCCAACTATACAAATAATCCTATTAGTAATTTGGCAGATATGCAATTCCAGATTTGATTACATAGATGACAGTAACATATATACATATAAACTAGTATATTTATTTATTCTGAGGAGAGATCATATGATATATGCTATTCTATAACTTAATTTTTCATCTTAAACTATTTCTCAGGCATTTTCAACTCACATGTACAGATTCATGTTTGTATTCACCAGATACATAATGTTCCATTATGTGGATTTACCATCCCATATAATATTTTAAATTGCTTATACAAATAAACCAAATATTATGTCTCACTATTAACTTAGGTGATACAGAAAAATGGTTCTTGCTGACCATAACTGTATCTGTGGCCTGAAATAATGAGCTGCAAGGAGGATACACACAGGAACATAGTCAACACAGCAACCAGGCTAACTATTTGATCAGGTCCAGGAAAATTTCCACTATTGGCAAAAGGCGGGGGATTATGGGAGCATGTCTGTGTGTTTGTCTATGAATGTTTATGTGTCTGAAACAAAATGGATATTATGTTCTAGCTTAAGTTTTCTTTCATGATTATAAAAACAATCATGAAGAAATCCTTTCTTAAAATATGGAAATAGGTTATAAAATAGTATTTAAATAGTAACCTACTGACCCAGGAATGCTGAATGTTAAAAGAGCTTATTTTCTCACAGATTTCTTTCTAATCACCCATATATACATGTATATATTATGTGTGAGTATCTTCACTCGACTACATATTTGATCTCCTTTCCATGCTCATGTATATGTGACACACAGTCTTCTTATGTATCAATCAATTTACAGAAGTATTTCCATGCATGCTGTGAAAACATTTGTCAGTTAAATTTTTGTGTAAATCAATAAATGTTTAAAACTTCAAACAGAAACATAATGTCTAGCAATATACACATGGAATGCTAACTCAATAAATTAGTATGAACGGCCACGCTGCACTGACTGAAGCCTTAATTTAGAGGCTGTAATCTGATCACCCCTTCTCCCACTGTGGACTTATAAACATTGGGAGATACAAAAATTCCAGAGGACTAATTCCTTCAAAACGCCTGTAATTCTCGCAAAACCACACTCCGTTCCTACCACTCCAAGACCATCATCCCTATTTTTCACATCTATACTCTGGGGCCCTCAGAAGTCACTGGAAAATAGCTAAATTTAAGACAGCCATTACCTTGAAGCTTCTTGTCAGCTGCAGCCTGGAGAAATGCAGCTCCTCCCCCAAGACTGGCCAGGCACAGCTCACTGCCAAGCAGCTCAGAGAAGGCTCCACCCACGGGCTGAGATGAAGAGCAGAAGGCCCCTCCCTGAATTAAAGGACAGAAACGCCAAGACAAACTGCTGAAATGTTGAAGTATGGAAATGTTCCTTTTAAAAGAACTTTAAAGTGAAATGGCAACAAGTGTCTGTTTAATTTCCATTCAAATGCTTCAGTGGGTGATTTCTCGAAGAAAAGAGGCAGCAAATCACTTTACCATATGATAAAAACCCAGTTAAATATTTTTTACATTTTTTTCTTGCCTTCTCTAGCATCTTACTGCTACAGGTAAATTTAAAACCCAGCTTTGTCAAACTGCACTAAACACGACTGCTAGGGTATTGATTGTGAGGAAAATAAAAAGGGAGACAGAGACACAAGGTGCAGAGGCAGAAAAGTGGCTGCTTGACCAAGCAGCCTCATTTATTTATACCAGTAGGCTACATTTGGTCATTAGGACCATAACTACATTATTGTTTAGAGTATCAGTAAGGTTGCTTATTTGCAGTTCCATTCCAGTTACAAAATGCAATGTCAGAGCTTTGTGATGCTCTTAAGAAAGTTCATTGTCTAAAATTACTCTTAAGCACACAGATCCAGGAGCACCAGAGCTTGGTGAAACATTGTAGTTATCTAGCAAGCAAGTTTCTCTATTCCCAGGAGTTATGTGCCTAAGATCAAGGTCGAAATTGATAAAACCCTTAACACAGAGCTTCCTCCTAAAGAACATTGCTACCATGCCAGGCATCCCGTGTCTTTTACATGGAAGTTCCCAGCAGCCAGGCATTCTGTGCCTTTGCACAGAAACTTCCTAGCCACCAAGCATGCCACAATCACTATGTTTATCAGAGACCCCAATCCCAAACACAGGACACCTACAATTGGTAGGGATTGTATTAAAACTGTCCACTATTTATGGGAGAATCGACTTCTTAAAAATTATGATTTTTATTAATATTTTATTATTTCATGACATATTATGTTTCCCCTTTTACTCAGTTCTCCTCTGGAACCCTTCATGGAGGTTTCAACAAATTCTTCACATACATGCTCATTTAAAAAAATAGTTGTAGACAGACACTGTACTTTTATTCTATTTATTTTTTATGCAGTGCTGAGGATTGAACCCAGTGCCTCACACATGCTAGGCAAGTACTCTACCATTGAGCTAAGCCCCCAGCATACATGTTCATTTTTGATAAGAGGTTGAACATCATTGTTTTGGCAGGAAAATACCCATTTCATATTTCCTCATCAATAACTGGAAATTTCTCCTTTCTATTTTGTTGTTGTTTTTCATTTGAGCATTTCAATGTGAGGTGAACTAATTTTGTTTAAATTTATATGTCTTTACTTGTTTCTATATCTGAAACATTTTTTTTAGTATTTGTTTTTAGTTGTAGTTGAACACAATACCTTTATTTATTTTTATGTGGTGCTGAGAATTGAACCTAGGGCTTTGCATGTGCTAGGAGATCACTCTACTGCTGAGCCACAACCCCTGAAATATGTTATGCATCTATTCATCAAAATCTCCTGCATTAAATTTATATTTCTGATTTAAAGTAGAAATTCAAGTTTTAAGTAACATTATCGATAATTTGGGGGGGATAAAGTATTTTATTTGGACTATGTTTCACATAATACATAGTATTACTCATATTTATATTATTATTTTAAAATCTACATTTATATAAACATTAATGTTAGAACAATAAATAGAAATGAATTAATGAAGGTGATCTCTCGGCTGGTATATATTTTTTGGCTCTAACAATTAGAGTAGGAAATGTTTGTGCTATAAATAATCCTTAAATCACAGAGGCTCAATCATCAAAAAGTGTAATTTGCTGATGTCAAAGTTCAATGTATGTAATCAAGTGGCCAGAGGGGACTGTTCTAAGTAGTCACTAAGGGAGGGACCCAATTATCTTCCATCCTTATGGCTCTACCATCTTCTTTTGCCATGAAGTCCTTCAGTGCATTCTTTTTAACTGGCTAGCAGTCAACAAGGAGAGGATGGAGAGTCTTATGGATGGTTTGAAGGGACAGGTCTGGCAAACATCACTGCTGGCCACAGTCCACTAGCCAGAACTCAGGTATGAAGGACCAACTGCCTTAAAGGCTGGGGAATATATAATTTAACAGTTTTGGTTTTCTCTGCCACAGGACATTTTCTCTTACATTTTAAAAAATATATTTTTGTTATCTGTTTAATGCTTTTCTACATTCAGGTATCATATTTATAATGAACTGGGCATAAATTGCTAGTTGCCTACTTAATATCCACTTTTTTCATTCTACCTCATGAGCAGAACCCCAGTTATATTCTAGGTGGCAGTATGAGCTCCTAAAATATTATTTTTTTCCAGACTTTCTCACTGCATACCATGGAATTTCTTGTTTACAAATACAAACAAATAGTGTTGTGAAGATTAGATTCTAATAAAAGGGGAATAAATATATTTTTTTAATTTTATATTTATATTTATATTTTTTTTCACTTTCTCCCATTTTCTTGCTTTCTAGAAATTGCTCATGATAGATACAGTTAGGACAACCATTCTAAACCAATAAGTGACTTAGAAAAAGGATGTAACTCACTAGGGAATGGATGATCTTCAGCCCCTGAATAATGGGACCACCTCATTTCAATCTTGATGTGGTGGAACAATGAACTTCTGTGTTACTTAAGTCACTGTTTTCCAGTCTGTTTCTAATAGTAGAATGAAGTACTTGATCTTATAATCACCACAAACAAAAAAGTCATTATTATTGTAGAATTAATCCTTTCTAAGTATTTCTATATAATTTAAATAGGATTATTGGGCCAATGTGAATATGGATTTATTTATTTTTATTTATTATTGCTTTATTTTTGTTCTTTTAAGTTATACATGACAGTAGAGTATAACTTGACTTATTTATGCAAACATGGAGTATATCTTATTATAATTAGGATCCCAGTCTTATGGGTGTACATGATGTAGAGATTCACTGGGTTTATTTAAAGGAAGAGAGTTAATTGATTTTATGTTTCATTATATATTTTTTTTGTTTTCTCATTTCAAATATTTGGAAAAATCCAAATGCACACAACATATGGTCATTAAATTTAATACATTACTTTCTTGTGTTTGTTATTTTCATTTTCCATTTTGCACATAAGTCAGGAAAGGCGATTTTCCAGAAAAAGTGAAAGACGAATTCCATGTTTAATATTTTATATTTAATTGTTAGGAGAAGGAGTTGGAGAAGAATTATAACCAATAATAATAAATGCTAATATTATAGTAATAAAGATACATAATATCAATATATAAAACCTAATACCCAAAAAAGTTCTGGGTTCTATTCTCAGTACTTGATATATGATTTCATCTAATTATCACATGATTATTTCATGGAGGATAGTCCCATAAGTGATTCATTCTTCACAACAACAGTAATATTAAAAACATTAATGTTTTCTTACCATATGCCAGGCACCCTGCTTGTACTCAATATACCTCACCCAGCTTGATTCTCACAAAATCTGTTTGAATGTATTCCCCCAAACTTCATGTTTTAGAAATAATTCCCAATGTAAAAGTTGAGATGTGGAACCTTTAAGAGGTAGTCAAGTCATGAGGGCTATCACCTCATGAATATATTGATTCTATTACTACAAGAGTGAGTTAGTGATTATAGGTGTGGGTTGGTGATAAAAGCATGAGTTTGGCACCCTTCTCCCTTTCTGTGTGCTCCTTCCCCATGTGATACTATCTGCCATGCAGTGACACAGCAAGACCATTACCAGATGCACTTCTTTGTTGTGGACTTTCCAGCCTCCAGAACTGTTAGCTAAACAAATATCTATTGTTTATAAATGAAACAGCCTCAACTATTACATTATAGCAGCACAAAATGGAATAAAATAGAGGGTATTATGAGTATCCTCTTTTGGGAGATGAGGAATTGGAGAGGTTAATGAATTTTTACTAGGATATCCAGAGAGTATTTGGCACATGTCAAATTCTTTGATATCCATGCTGCTTTGACTCCAGGTTCCATGCTCTTAATCACTAAGATACTTGTATCTTCCTCCTCCTAAATGGAAAATACTCTGTGAATGTGTATGAGATGAATGGATGAAGGAACACGTGTATTTAAAATAGTTATATGCCAGGAGTCTGATAAAGGGGCTAAAAGCATGCAATGGAGGAAGGATAGCATCTTCAACAAATGGTG